TCGGTATCCTTCTCTACTTTTCCTACATCTGAACTACACGTGGCCTGGTTCCTTTATAGCCAAGGATACGTAGGCAGCTCAGATACCAGGGCTCGATCACATTTTCCCTTCTTTTAGTTTTTGGTCTCTCTAAATAAGGGTCAGGTCAAAAAACTTGTCTCGTCGTTCTTTGTCTGAAAACTCTTCGTGTTTTCAGTCAAAGAGGGGCAGCTGTAGACATGTAATTTTTGACCCTCCTCGAGATTTTACACATAATAGTGTTTAAATATTTAGTTTAGGTCTGATATCGCTATTTTAACTAGTTTTGACTCTTTTACTTTATTTTATCACAAAAATAAAAATTACAAAAATATTTTCTTTTATTTAGCTAATTGATATTTTATCTAGTTACTTTTAGTTTATCTACCTTACATAAAATTCGAAAATACAAAAAAAAGTTCCACTTTGTTTTCAGGAATATTAGTATTTTGGTAGGAATATTATTTCAATTTTGCGATGATTTTAATCTAATAATTTTATTTTTTTAGTATGATATTTGAAAAATACCAAAAATAAGTTTGTTTTAACGGTTAGTTTTATTTTAATAGTTATTTTTACTTAAGTAGGATTAATTAGTAAAAGGATTTTTTCATTCCTATACACTATTTAAAACTTTATTACCCTTAATGTCCATGTTTAGTTAATTACCCTACATAAACAAGTTTTGTTTACAAAATATATACAATCCACCTTAAAAGGCTCCCAATCAATTATTTGTGCCTTCAATCAAGGGATTTAGTTACACCCTTTTCCTTTTTTCTCTCCTCTCTCCAGATTCTGTCTTTCTCCCCATATCTCGAGTAAACAATTTCCAAACTAAATCTGCTAACTTCACCCATAGTGAACATAGACGAGGATATTACCAATCTCCCCTCTTAATGAACAACTTGTTGTCCAAATTGCTTTGAACAAGACTAGATTTCAACAAATTAAGCTTCAGTCAATTTTACATTCCACGTCCCAAATACTTGTTTAACAATTTAACAAACCTCAATTCATTGTTCTCCTCTTGCTATGAAGCCTTTCAGACAATCCCATGCACATAGATTCATTCAATTACACAAATATACAATTACTTCGTGCCTTGATAAAAACCAGCAAGGGAATTCATAGGAATGCGGGGGGGGGGGGGGGGGGGTAGGTGTTGGGACTTAACCCACAAAAATATTAACCTGCCCCGACCTCAACCAGCCCCGCATCAACTCACCCCACCCCTCATATTATTCTTAGAAAAAAATCTGGAAAAAGTAATTCAAAATTTGATATTAGTTGTACATACTTTTTTTACTACTATAACTTATCTACAACTTTATACAATTTATCTACAACTTCATACATTATTTCTACCCAGTTATATACAACTACAATATCATACCACGTAAATACAATTTTTATATAATATGTCTTTTGTATATTTTGTATCTAATTTATACATAGCAAAAACAAAATTCATACAACTAACTATATATTATACAACTTATCTACAACTTATTTATACTCAGTTATATACAACTACAATATCATACCACACTTAATACCTAACCACATAAAATTTGAACCTACCGCTAACCCTAAGGGGCTTCTTCTTCTTCAACCCTAATCACCCTTAACCTAGAGCAACCACAACTCCACCCCCTCACCACCAAGCAGCGCCTCCAAACACCACGGCCGCACACCCCTGATCTCTATAGAATCAGCGACCGCGCCACCCCTTCGAAACTCCATCGCCGTTGCACCACCAAAGCTCCATAGCCATGGCAGTAACTTAAATCACCTATACCACCAATCAAGCACCCCATAATACCTCTCTAAAACCCGCTGGAAATCAGCTGCCCATCCCCGTAAGAACACCGTCGTTCCCACACTTCAAACACGGCCAGAAAATTAAGAAAAAGAGAGGACAAAGAGCAAAAAACTGAGGCGGATGAGATAGTTGTCGGCCGGACAATTTGATTCTTTTCAAAGCTCACTTTTAACCTCTTCTATGATACCAAGCCATACGAGAATCTTGTGAAATCTTCTCCTCTCACGTAAGGCTGGGCATATATCGGGTAAAACCGATAACCCGAACTGTTAATTATTTATTGGGTTATCGGTATTGGGTTATTGGGTTAACGGTTCGGTAACGGTTTAGAATTTTTTCACTATTGGGTTATCGGTTCGGGCCTCGGTTTGGCAATTCTATTATTGGGCTAACCGATAACCCAATAAGGATTAACGAAGTTACTACTTTACCCTTAAGTATATACATATGCAGATATGCTAGGGCTTCATTCTTTCGTATTCTTTCTTAGCCTCAGCCGCATTCTTCAAAGTTCAGACTCTTCACTCTTCAATTGGACAACTGTTTGTGGTGTTGAATTATTAGTTGCAGATTTTATGGCTTAGCAGCAACATTATGTTGATGTTTGTAGTGTTGGAAACTGGAAAGTTGTAGCAGCAACATTATGTTGAATATTAGTTGCAGATTCTTTGTTCAATGTAGTGATTGATTATGTTTGTTACAGATTCTTTGTTCAATATATTGTTGTTTACGTTGAATATTAGTTGCCGATATAAAACTATTTTAGCACAATTAGTAAGACATGTGATACAACAACTGTATTGCAGGGGTCAGATTAAGTCAAATCTAGCAGGAAGATTAGCACAATTAATTGTGTCCACTGTCCAGAACCAATATAAAGTTATTTTATAAAACTGTTTTAGTTGTGGCCAGAAACGAGTTTTAAAACTGTTTTACTCTTCTCTTTTTTGCTTAACTCTAGATTGAGTTATCTTATCAGGTAAACCGATAACCGAACCGATAATGATCGATCACCGATTGACCTATAACCGATAACTAATATCTTATCAGTTTGGTTATCGGTTTATCATATTTGTAAACCGATAACCGATATGCTAAACCAATAATATTCATAATCGAACCGAACCGACCGATGCCCACCCCTACTCTCAGGTGAACTTGGTTCTTGTCCACAGTTTTCTAAGACAGATTTAAACAAATATATAAAGTCTGATAATCGCTCAAGCACACTCTTCAACTCAAAATCGGTCCAAGTTGTTGATTTCCATTTCGAAATTTCAAGCTCTTCCGAAACCTGAAAGCATTCGTCAAAGGTCGTGGTCCGAGGTCTTGTTCAGTCGTACGTTGAGGTTGCCGTCCGAGGTTCGAGGTTCGTGGAGCAATTTCCTGTTGCTGTTTTCCATCCCTGTTCGTGCTGCGATTTGCTCGATTTTGGCTTAAGGGTCTTGTACAACTTTCAAGTGTCGAAGAAAATCTGATAACTCCTTTTGAGGTTCATTCCTCCCTTTGTTCTCGCTTTAGATTTTGTGCGTGTGCTTGTGATTGATTCTTGATGACATGAACGCTATTTGTTTCTTCTCTGTTTGTGACTCGCTTCAGTTGGTTTGGTAGTTGAGCTTCATCTAAGTCTATTATCATTTTGTTTACTATTTTCCTTAATGATTGATTGTTTGAACTTAGTATCTAGTTAAGTTAATTGGTTTTGGTTGTACTATTGCTTGACTGCCGGTTTGTGCCTTGAGTTTCTTTGTGTGTTGATATTTGATGTGAGTTCACATACCAATGGAAGAAGATGATGAAAAGAATCGCTTGTTGGTCCATGGAATTTGGGCTTAAATGGAGCTAAAAAGGAAGTGAGCACCGGATTAAGGTCACTGTTTTATTTTGGTTTTACTTTCCTTCTATTTCACTTTATTTTACCGCTAGCCGCATGTTTTAGGCCGTTATCACTCGGGTAGGCCAGTCTTGGGTTTTTTTAATCTTATTCTTATTCGAGATAAGAGGTCGCTCCTTTTAGTTTATATTCAGGGGAATGCCCCGTAGATTTTATATATATTTTTATCCGGGATATGCCCCATAGTATCATGTAGTTGGAGGCCATGACGAACTTTATGGAAAAGTATAGTATATATTAGTATTTAGAAGTTTACTTTAATTTTCTTATTTTATTTTCTTTCGTTTAGGTGGGGACGACCTCGAGCCTCTTGTGTGTTTATTTTCCTTTGTCTGTATTTTTTATCTCAATTTGAATATTTTAAAAGCCAACTAGATCATGTGCGCAACCGTAAATTTCACGGGACTCGGAAATACCTAACACCTTCTCCTCGAGTCAAATGAACCCCTTTACCTGAATCACTGGTGCAATTAAGAGGCAAACGTGTTTTGAAAGGAAATTGTTATTTAAAAAAAAATGGTGACCTGACACACCGAAATCAAATGTCAGGTGGCGACTCTGAAAATCTTTCGAAACGCAATTTTTTTGTCACTTTCAAATTTGAAAACCCTTTCAAGCTTCAAAATCATCTTTTATTAATTTTAAGAAGGTTAGTGAGGTTGTAAAAAAAGGGTGCGACAGTGGGTGGTGGTAGACGATAATGGTGGCGGCTATGATTGAAGATGATGGTGGTGGTTGAGTATGGTAGTAGTTGGTTTAATGGTGGTAGTTGATAATGGTAGGCGGTGGTGGCGTTTAATAATGAATATGGATGATAGCATCTTAATGAAATTAAGTCTCTATTATAGGTCTTAATCATACAGACCTATTCAGACCTATTAAGTAGTTATGAAATAAAAAAAACAAACACACTTAGTGATTAAAATCTGAATAATTAAAATTCATATTTTAAAAATAAATATACTTAATATCTGAGGCCCGAACAAACGAGGCTTTACACTTCTTTTGTCGACCAAAATATTACTCCCAACTTAATTCCTCTTTAGCTGAAAAGCTCTCCAAATGACCAAATCATTTACCTTATTATCCCTTACATATTTTTGTAAATTCTAAAGTACCCTTCCCTCATATGCCCTAACCCCACGTTATGTCTTTCCTTTTTGCAATTTCTCGTTCCTGCTTATTCTCCGCCATAGCAGGTAACTTTTCTTTTCTATATAATTGCAATAAACATTTTTGTTGATCAAATTTGGTGTTTTCTTCATGTGACTTCCTTATTCATCTGTCTGCACCGAAATTAACCTACTAAGTTTTATAACGTACTAAAAGATTATTATACTAGTAATACTTATGAATCTCCAGAAATTGCAAATGATAGAAGCTGAAATAGGAAGTTGTCAAGTATACAGAAAGAATTTAATGTGAAGATCTGGTCATAGGGAAAAAAATCACTGTTGTTTTTTAAATTCAACTTCAGCACTTCAAAAGCGCTTTTAAACTCAAGTGCTTGCAAGCTACTTTTATTCAACTAATTCAAAGGGTTTAGACTATATATTTTAGATTCGTGTGGAGAAGGGTAAAGGGGTAGGCCAACACTCCATTGTGTTTCGAACCGTGCGCTATTGGCCTCGGGAATTTCTCAAGTTGTAGAAAAAAAAGCTTTGTGACAATGGTTATGACTTTTGCAGGTTCTTCAAGATGGTTGAAACATTGTTCGAAGATATATTTACAGTCACTCAAAAAGATCCGGATGGTAAAAAGTTCGATAGAGGTATTCAATTTATCATTCTTCCCCGCTGTAATTGATCAATTTGTTTATGCTCTCTGTTTGTTGTTCTTGTTAATTTTTTCTTTTCAATTGTTAATTGAATGAACTTTACACTATGTGAAAAAACGCTGTGAATGACACCCAAGGGTGTGGCCTAGTGGTCAATGAAGTGAGTGGAGAACCATGAGGTCTTAGGTTAGACAAAAAATATTAGGTAATTTCCTCTTAACTGGCTAAGCCTTAGTGAGCACAGTTATTCGGTACTTGTGCTGGTGGGAGATAGCAAGTACATGGTGAAATAGTCGACGTATACGCAAGCTAGCCCTGCCACCACCATCATAAAAAATAGATGTGAATGATTGATGCATCACTTTGATGCCCTAACTTTGCATTCCATAATAATATACTTGTTCCGACCATATCAATTTTTATCTCAAGGGGAAGTGATAATATGGTCATGGTACACCACTTGAAGAATAAGTTGAAGGAATCAAGGAAATTAACTAAGATAGTTTGTTCACAGTAGACCAGGAATTATTAGGATATGACCTCGTATCCCGGATAACTTGAGCTTGTCTTGGCTCTCTTCTTTGACAAATGAGACTTTGCTTAGATGGTTGGCACTCTTAGCTTTCAATCGAGAAACAGGTGAACTTGTGAAGTGGGCTTATTGCCCCATGTCTTACCTATAAGAAAAAGGCAGGTGTTGTTGCTTTATCATTGCATCTAGCTATCTTAACACTTTGAAATAAGTCTCCCTTTGTTATGTAATTTGGCCCACCCCGGATTCTAACGATGACTGTAATTAGGAGAAAGAGAAAGGTTAAAGGAAAAACTCCTTGTTACGTGGACATTCAAAAAAAGAAAAGAAAAGGGGAAAGAGTATTCATGTAGTTTACTGGAAATGCCTCTGATGAATTTTGATAAGTTTTGTGCTTTTGTACTGGCTTTCTTAATCTATTCATGTTTGCTGGACTTCGTTGTCTTTCTTTTTTCTTGGTTTTTTTTCCTGGGCAAACAACATCATCCGTCGTACAGTAAGAGCGCTACCTCTGAGACCAATATATGGTCTTGTGGTCTTATATGACCTTCTTTCCGATAGTCTCCACTATAAATGATCCAATCTTTCGTTCTATGCTCGCACCTTCTGGTGTCTTTCGCATGAGTGATAATGGGCATAGGAAGGGCATGGGGTTGTGTGGTGGACACTGGTGGTTCAACAGACTGGGTACAGACCAAATTACTATTGGGAGCAATTAGCATTGAACACTAGAGTACTGATAAGTGTATTGCTGATTACGCATGTGATGGAGTAATAGAATATAGAGTTAGTGTAGTTTCTTGACCAACTGTGAATTTTGGCATATGATGGACTAAATTTGGTTTATTATTGCCACCATGAATTATTAAGCTGCAGACATGTTTTCTGCAAATAGTGTGATCTAAGAATATCTTGTGCATTTTGTAGTTAATCGCATTGAAGCACGAAGTGAGCAGTTTGATATGTACATGCTGTTGGATGTGAACACCGAGATATATCCTATGCGTGTGAAAGATAAATTTATGATGGTTTTAGCATCTACTTTGAACTTGGACGGGACACCAGATACTGGTTATTTCATTCAGGTAAAATGCTGTAATGATTTATGTCTATCCTTGTAGATTTGCAAGTGTTAGCCTAACTGATATACTTCCGATTATGTGATTTATATTAACAATCATAAAGATGGTACTTGAAGTCTCCAGGATATGTGTTTAAGTTACCATGGCGAATTATTTTCATTAAGTAAGAAATATCAATGCAAGGAGCTTATGATCACAGGTTCAAGCCGTGAAACAGCCTCTTGCACGAATGCACGGTAAGGCTGCGTACAATAGACCCTTATGGTAGCTTAGTGCACCGGGTTGCCTTTTTTTTTTTTTTTTTTTTTTAAGTAAGAAACATCAAGTATCTTTTGATACAAATATATGTATTCTCATTAGAAAACTAACTTGCTATATAGAGGCTTTTGGAATGTACTCTTCCTGAAGAAGTGAGCCCCTTAAAATATTTTAGTTTTGTAACCTTGTCTATCTGGAAGTGTTTATGAAATCCATCAATTAGATAGCTCATCTAGTAACTAGATATAGAAACTAGTGAATATATCAGCGTATTTTTGGTGTCTGTTTTGACGTGTCATAAGACACATTTTTGCTCCACAGAGGTGTGGTTCCTTCTGATACAGTCTGTGATGGCTGTACAATTGCGTTCTAAGATAATTGGCATGACAAACAAATGGTATCTGCCAGTGAAAGGTGTAATCATTTGGTATTGCCATAACTAGATTTATCGCCATTCGGCACTGAAGGATCCATCTATAATGCTATTTGGATGATAGCGAAATGTTGTTTGGTTCTTTTTCTGTTAGATTTCATTAGCATTGGAGAAAGAAAGAGAAGGGGAAAATCAAGGAAAGCAAGAATAGATAAGAATGTGAATAAACTACTATGACATATGCAGCAAGAATTTCTGTCATATATAGGATTAATGATAGATGGTGCAGTGCTTTAAATTCTGAGCATCTAGAGAAGAAAAATTGCTTTGCATTTCTTATAAGAAAGATGGCCTCTAAAATGCTAATTGTACATTTGTTATGCTTCAATATGTCATTATCCTCGCGGGAGCATTCGCTATATCAAGCAGATGTACACTTATATACATGGCTCCAGTCCTGTTACTTTCCACGAACACACTGTTCTACAGATAGCTGTAATTATTTCCTTCTAAGTAGGTATACCTTGCTATGATTTTAGTTTCGCCTATGCGCTAATGAGAAAGGAGCCCTTACAATTGCTATTCTCTTCATTTCCCTTTTATTCCCTTCTTCTGTAGAAATAGTTTTGGTTTTAATGTTAGATTGTCGATTTATTACGTATATTATTAATCTGTTTTGGCAACTCGCCTGAGACTAAATCAGGTCCCTTTTTCATTTTTTTTCTCCAGCAATAACAACTATGCCTCAACCCCAAACAAGTTGGGTCGGCTATATGATTCCTCATTGACCATGTTTATCCTTTTTCCATTTCTTTCTCCTTCTCTCCTTTTTTGAGAAATACGAACACTGATAAAAGATGACTGGGATTTATTTTGGTCCTTTTCACTTTTTTTCCATTGCTCCTTTTTTACATGAGCATTGATAAAACATGATTCTAGCTTGGAAAACACAATTGGGGAATATGCTAAAAGAAACAGGTAGCATGAACTGGGAATGTCAATTCGGCTCAGTCTTGATTTAAAACAGAGGAAACCAAGTTTATGTGGTTCTCCTTTTAGTTTCCAGATCTTGCATTTTGGAGAGACCGAAAACCTGTATGCACATACACATATTGGTTCCAAAATCTTTGACAGATTTGAGTACTTTCTAGTTTCTACTGAGTCTGAATTTCTAATTTTCCTCAATGTTCCTTGGTGTTCTCAAACTCCCTGCTGATTTCCAACCTTATTCTTGCTATCTTGCCTCCCCCTAGGGCTTGAAAAAGCTAACACCAAGCGTGAGAACTGGCCTGTTATGGCACATCATGACAAATGGGGCTTTCATATTTACTTTGCTATAGAAGTAGAGGGACATGCTAATCAGAGTGACTTATATTCCTTTACAAGGCTTCTGTTCCTTTTGTATGAAGCAATTCTGAAAACTGCAGGAACGTCATGGCCGCCCCAATGGTTATGAGAACTAAACTTCTGTCCGTACTTCGATATCTTTAAGACTTAAACCATTGAAGCAAAATTTTCCCAAATAACCTTGTTTTTCTTTCTCCTTTCTATATTTTGATTTTTTTAAATGAATCTTTCTCATTTAGCTTCTATTGAATATTTTTGGTTCACGAGATTTTTGCTTTACTGTTTTCTCAAAGGTACTATGCAATCTCAATTTTTGTCAAATCCAGTTAAGTGGGAACCAAAATAAATTCGGTAACCTAGAATTATCTTTAACATCTTTAAGTTGGTGTTTGCTTATGGATTTCCTTAAACTGACTTTATGGGTTGTCGAACCAAAGTAGTAAATAGTACTTGCCGAAGTCTTCAGTTTTGAAACTAGTCGCCAAAACTAAACCAGAATCTGTCTTGTGGTCATTTAACTTCCTAAACTCGTAACATACAAGTATCCTATAAAGACTTAAGACAACTACGATCTCATTCATAAGGAAACACATCAAGATCTTTCAAGTCTCCTTTGTGACAAAGGTCATTTTTTGGAGTCTTTTTGCCATGATTGTAAAGTGTGGTATTTATTATCTTTAAGTTCGCTTTGGCATGTTTCCTCATCGTCAAATAGCTATGGAGCTCCCTTTCAAGGCGCATTCTCTTATTCCCCGCCTTACATTCTCCGCCATTGTACAAATTCTACTAACCCTAAAGAATTTGTAATATTGGTTTTCAATCAACACGCCATTTCCAAAAAGATCTATTGCTTGATTTATGTGATTCTATCTTTTATTGCTATATATTTTTATGGACTCGACTATGGATTCGTATCTGATGTGCGTGTATAAGCATTCGGTACAGGTACATGCATTTTTTGTAGCTAATCTTTCAGTGTTTCTTGAAACATCCATGCAATATCCACAACCATACCTCATCTAGTCTGCAATTATGATCCCAATGTTTTAAAAGGCGTGTGCGTAAGACGAGACGTTTTACATATGCCTCAGCGAGGCGTAAGCCCCGAGGCACGGGGCGTAAGCTCCATAGGTATTTAACTTTTAATATTTTATAAGATAATATAATTACAGTAAATATTTATAAACATGTAAAATTACATAAAAATTGAAGAAAACTATATATATATATATATATATATATATATATATATATATATATATATATATATATATATATAAATTAGATGTGCTCTATCCCCACAAAAAACTAGTCAAAACAATCTATTATACGCTACTTACAAGCACAAGTAACTTGAATCTAAAAGAATAAAGTTTTCTACATGGAGGAACAAAAAGGATAATTAACCTGCAATTTAAACTTTGAACTTGTTGCTATGAAGGAGAATGGAGTTCTATTTGTATTTGTAAACAAAAAAATTGAATATTCGTTGCTTTTTGGAGATATTAGCAGATTAGCGGATAAGATAAAGAATTTGGAAAGACCATGAATTAGGGCTTCAATCAATAAAAAAGGTCTTCACTTTGAAGCTTAATACATTTCAGTTCCTTTTTAAAACTTTTGAGTAATTACCAAGCTGACTTTTGAGAATTTGGGGTATTATATGAAGGGCTTATTCAACAAATTTTGTTTAAATTTGAAAAAATCTCCTGGGCTTAGGCCTCACTAAACAAACGCGCCTCAAACGCCCGGGCGTACGTCCCAAACGCCCGGGCATACACCCCAAATTGCTGTGCGTACGCCTCTTGAGATTTTTGCCCCACACCATCGCCTCGGGGCATGTTTGATGCGCCTCGCCCCAGGGCTCGCCCCGAAAACGCCTTTTAAAACACTGTATGATCCTTGTGCCTGCTAACATTAGAAAGAATGTTTCCTAACTGTTGTTATTCTGATCCTTGTGTACTTGAACATCCTCCTGTATGCATTTTATATTTGGATGTCTATGTAAGAACCTCTTGTCTTTTTCAATGAGTAGCCCATAATTTCCTTCAGTTTATGCATTAGGAGAATGTTGAATATACATCCTCTTGTGTTTTCCATATATAGGCTTGTAAATAATTTCCTTCACCTGTGAAGCTTACACCTGGTTTACTCAAACAGTGTACTAAGGTTAAATATTTTTTCGTTCATTTTAATAATACACCTGGTCTTGAAATCCATATAAACTTGTTGAAAATAGTACACAACATAAGCAAAAGATCCATATAGGTTATACCAGCTACTTGGAGTTAAGGTTAGTCATGATGATAACCCTTACTTAGGTCTAGTTTTAGTATATCAGTAGAAAATAGAGAGGGAGCCTCTCGTAGGGATTCATATAGGCGTACTTGTTGCTCTGAAATATGCTTATAAGGAAACATTTCTATGGTAGTCTTTAATATGCCACATATTCTCCTATGGCTCCAACCCATGCAAACAAAATAACTGAAACTCTGAGTAAACTTCCATGCAACAGATGATGAGGCCAAACTTGAAACGTTAATTAAGTTTTATAACTTAAATATCTTAAGAGCTAGGCTTGACCAGAATATCATAAGTAAGAGAGAATCTCGCTAATTGGAAGGAAAAGGAGGGGTTCGATCTATTCTGGTTCAGTTCTTTGGTATAGAAAGATCTCTGCCAATGCTTAGAGCTAACCTCTAATGTAATTGTCTAGCTAAATGCATGTATGAGCTTCTTTCTTTTTCTTCGTTTTTCATTTGACTGTCTCATACTTGTTATGTCTGGTGGTCAAACTCTTAGAAATCCAGATAATACTTGATGGTATTGCAATTTGATGGCAGGGTAACAAGAAATCACTTGCTGACAAGTTCGAATATGTCATGAATGGGAAGCTATATAGGATCTCAGAGGAAGGTTCAGGAAAGCATGTTAAAGCGTATGCTTGGATAACTTTTCTCATATTCAATTTAATTCCATGAACCTGAATTCATTATTTCTAACATGTTCTTGCCTTATCATTTGTGCACACCTTAGCAATATCTGCTTTTTGTTTCTTGTTTCCAAGAGTTGATATGGAATTGGCTCAGACTGACTTCTTAGATCTCCCATATGCGAAGATTAGATTCTAAGTGCCATTTCTATTTTATTTCTATGACTTGTTTCTCAGTACGAGTTTTTTCTATTGCATTTTATTGTGGAATATAATTGTACTTTCCTATACTCGGTTTTTCTCTGTTTTCTTTTTTGGGCTAGAAGTCCCCTTTTTTGCTTAATGTGTAACCTATTTCAGTTTTAACGTCTAAATTTAGTGTTTGAGATTTGTCTATGTTCTGGTTGTTGGGACCAACTGATTTACTGTTTTGATAAGCAACATTTTATTAATGTAACGATGGATTTACTGTTTTGTTTTGGTTTTCAGAGACATCTTTGTTTCATTTGGAGGACTTCTGATGCAGCTGAGGGGAGATCCATCCATTGCAGCGAAATTTGAGCTGGATCAGAAGATTTTCCTTCTCATGAGGAAGGTTTGATTTAAAGAATTGGTAATAATAACTCAGTTTTAACTTGAAGGTGAAAACGCATTTGTTAGCTAAGCTACTGGCACGTGATAACTTTCGCGTGGAGTTCAGTTTCAAGAAATCGAAAGAATGTAACTGAGATGATAATGGAGACCAAGGAATGGAGCTCTATTTATGTTGTTGAGGTGCGGAAACCTAATGTGCAGTTATGATCTTTATATCTGGTGACATAAAGAGAAGAATATTTTCCAACTACTAGTATTCTGTGATGAAGAATTTAGAACTCTTATCGACTGGTAACATAATTGCAGTTCATGCTGCTGTTATTATTCCGAGCCCTGTGTTATTTCAATATCTTGCTGTTTCTGTTTTATACTTGGATACCTATATGCATTAGAAGTAGGATTGAATATATAAGAACTTGTGTTCAAAAATTTTCATGTATGCATTATGAGATTAAATACATAAAATGCACTTGTGTTTTCAACATATAGACTTGAAACCAAGTGAAACATAATCTGCTTTCTCAGAACTTTGTAAAGTGAAACAATATTGGATGCTTGAGCTTCCCAATAACAACATAAATAGAGCTTTGTACATGTGTTGGGTAAACTGCTTACTGAAGGTGGAGCAGATGAGCTTATAGCGAGTGTTACAACTGAGATCCGAACTATATAATCTTCAAGTTGTCACTCCTATGCCTCGGCCACCCATCCGTCCCACGAGGACAAGGATGAAGTATCTAATGACCTAACCGTTTTCTTGTTCTGTATTTGTTGTTTCTTTATACAGACCTAGCTACCTAAGTGAGGGTGATCATTCATTCACCTTACACTTGTTACAAAAAGACAGATAAACTATGAAATATGTTCTAGTATAAATAGGTTGTTGTTGCTTAGCTAAGCAATAATCAAAGTATGATCTCAACGAGCAATTCCCACAGTAATTGGGCTTCTGACAGTATGACTACCATCTGACCATACCAACTCTCCATATTTGTGTTGATCCACCCCAGCAAGATAAGTAGTATTCACAGCTTTAATATGCAAACTAAACCTCTCCTTCTGACCTTGGCTCTTGAATATCAACACATTTGGTTCCACAACTAGTGAGATTCCGGGAGGCTGGGCAACTCGAGCCGTGTAAGTACCCGGCGGACCGACATTTGTCAGTGTACGAGTCACAATTAAGTTGCCAGAAAGAGCTGGAACAGTTATTGAAGGATAATTGAATTCCAAAAGACTTGAATTACTAAGTGGTGGACATATATAAGGAGCCTTGTTGAAGGTGCGAATAACTTGACTATCATAGCCAGATGCACATAAGAAGTTCAAATAATCATTCACTTCTAAGTCATATACTAGTCCAGGATCAGAAGCAAGATTTGGTCTTATATGCCCAGCTCCACATGCAAATGGTGTTGCTGCTTCCTTGGTGGTATCAAGCAACGGTTTTCCTGTATTATCTATTGGGCTTGCTGAAAATAAACCATTAGATGTATTTGTAAAAAAACTAGGTCAAAATCAGATGAAATATGTAAAGAATTTTTATGCCACTATCTAAGTCATATTAATACCATAAAAACAAGACAGATAAATTAAGGGTGAATAGCCAAAAAAGGGTATATATGTACCAGTAGTCATGAGAGCAGATCGAATGGCAGCAGGACTCCAATCAGGGTGAATAGCTTTAACAAGTCCTACAATCCCAGAAACATGAGGACACGACATTGATGTTCCAGACATTACATTGTAAGCTGTTCTACGATTGTCAAATGCTTCATTTGAGGGGTTATTTCCTTCTGTGTAGGCAGCTATAATATTCACTCCAGGTGCAGTGATATCAGGCTATATATAAATACAACAGTAACACAAAATTAATTTTGTACAAAAACAATAACGTAATAAATAATTAAGTAGCTAACCAATAACAAACCTTGAGGATTGCAGGTGTAATCAAATTAGGACCTCTGGATGAAAAAGAAGCCATAGTTGGAGCAGGTTTTATACCTAATGTTGCCTTTGGTGCGGTTATTGAACCCATAGCATTGCTAGTTAATTAATACAAGGTAGAACCATTAGTGTCGTATATGTGCAATTTAATGACTTATATATTTATAGAATTTGAGTTTTATACATTGACAATACATATAAAAGTATATTTATATAGTAAAGAGAAAGAGAGCATATATATATATATACTTTGTAGAATTGATGTAGGCAAAAACGGCAAGAGCGTCGTTGTAAGTGATATGTGAAGCTGGGAGGAGATGAACGTCTGCAATAATGTCATTTCCACTGGTTTGGTCATTGCAAAGTATTATTCCAACAGCACCTCCCATTACAGCTTGGTGCCCTTTATCTACTCTCGTGTTATTTCCCCTTAAACAAACCAAAATCTTCCCTTTCACCTTACTACCATCCAATGTTGCTTCCTTACAAAGCTTACTGCATGCATGCATAAACAAAAATCTAAATGAAAACTGTGGCGCAGACAAGTCTGTTTCATTTTATATGACGTACGGTGTTTGCCTGTTTTATTTTATATGACAATGTTTGCCGAAACAAGTACTTTGGCACATGCTCAAATCAAAGTATCCTTACAACTTATAATCTTATATATCACATGACCTTAATTTCTATGATTATAAGAACAAGTTATTGAGGTAAAACGACAAGTTTAAATTTAAAGAATTACGTACTATGAAATATAGAATTGGACCATTTTTTGTACTAAAAAGAAAGCGTGTCATATAAAATGGAATAAAGTGAGTATTAGATTAGAAGTAGGACAATCTTACGCATCTTCAACCGTTGCATTTGCAGCTTTAGCTTGCTCCCCACTAATAAGTGGATAGAATTTTTCTTCTGGCAATGGATAAGAAATGCTCGTTCCCTACTTGATGAAGAGAACAAAATTTTAGATATATCATGATAAACAAAATAATCAATGAATCAAGTAAAGAATAAAGAAATACCCCCATTCCTTTAATATAATATATGACGATATTTGATTAAGTATGAAATTTAAAAAGAATATACCGATTTTTTGCACATATCAGAAGTATCATTAGAACTTGTGGTCTTAAGCATGTGATGGCATTTCTACAGGTATACGAGCATGGCATTATGAATGAGGATTTTGTAGCTAAGGAATTTTAAAATTTTAAATAGTCTCATTCTTTTTAAAAGATATTAAAAAAAGAAAGAGTGTCATATCACGGAATAGAAGAAGTCGTCACACATCTTTCTACTTCACGAACTTAGGCTCGATACCTTATATGACTTCAAATTGGTGAATTCTTAAGCCAGATGAGCCAATTGCAAGAAAATTTTCAAGTTGAATTTAGAGGGCCAAATAAAATGCTAATTATAGATATACATATGCAAAAAAAATATAAAGAAAATTTAGTCAAAACTATAACCTTGATGGTAAGTCCATTTTGAAGTTTGACATTGGATTCAAATTCACGATCAATAGTACTGGCTCCAACGGTTATCATCCAAGGTGCAATATTGCCCACAGTTGAAAGCATAGGTCCTGAGTTTCCTGCAGAAGTCACCACTACGATACCTTCTTTCATGGCGTGAAACGCCCCGATTGCCGCCGCGTCTCTAAAATATGGCCGTGGTTTTCCACCAACAGAGGCAGAGATCACATCAACACCATCATCTATGGCGAAATCGAATGCTTTGAGGATATCAGCGTCAAAACACCCTCCTCCTTGTTTTGCTGGCCAACACACCTTGTATTCAAAGAGAAATGAAAGTATGTTTTCACCTTATATATTATATATTGTTTAAGCTTTTAAATGCAACGGGAAGTTAAACCCTATTTTCAAGAGCTTAACTTCTTTAAAAGAATTAAAGAAAAAGCGAGCTTAACTTCTTACACGCGACAATGTAATATTTTAAATACTATCCGATCACCTAGAAAATAACTATAGGTAACGGTCATAAAAAGTAGGATTGGTTAGTTGAAAAATAAGATATGTTACACGCTACTGTTGGTTAATTAAGCACACTAATAGTGTAAAAGTTGTTTATGTTATCAATTTAATAAATTAAATCTTATGTTGACTTTTGAGTGAAATGGATTAATGCTATAATCTAATATATATGTACCTTATAAGCAGCAACTCTAGCTTTAGGTGCACCACCTTTTGCAGTGCCATTGTACACTCCTATGACACTTGCTTTGGGAGCAAAGTTACCAGCCGCAGTGGACAGTGTGTGTGTTCCATGCCCTTCGGTATCACGGGGAGAGTTGGGAATATTACTTGTATTATTATTATTTCCCCTTAAATCATCATATCCCTTGTGGAAATACCTGGCGCCTATAAGCTTCCTACAAATTATGCATCAAATCACAATGTTTGTTAGAATAATGTGCGTGTTCAACAAAAATTGACCCTTTTTTCGTAATCCGTCTAACTCGTTTAAGTTTAAATAGATTAAGTTATGACCTGTTTGTTGATTTGAATATAACTAACTATTGAATCCCAAACGATCCGCCGAACTATTAGATAAAAACGGGTCAAAAGTAACCTAATGGGTCAATATGCAACCAAACATACAAATCAAACTTGTAGATTGAGAATTATGTAATTTTGGAAGAATTTAAGCTAATAAATTAAGAAAATACATTATCTTTCGCATTCTTTTTCAAAAAGGAAGGGGAAGTTGGGTCAATGTGGGTAGGAACCATTATTTATATCTTAAACCAACTCATTTGACCAACTCATGTCAAATTAATTTGACCAGTCTTGGTCTTTTTAAGTTTGACTCGAACCCACCTATTTATTACCTTTAAATCAGTAGAATAGAACTAGCATTATATATCCCATGTAATAGAGACATATATACCTATTGCAAGAAAATGGAACCTTATCGTCATTTTGACATTCACCCTTCCATCTTGATGGAATGGGCCCATAACCTTCGTCATTGAAACTTGGATTTTCTGGCCAAACACCTAAAGGAGAAATTAATTATTAATCTCATTCAGACACAAAAATAAGGCTGAATAGAAAAGGAAATATATACATACATATATACCTGTATCGAGATTTCCAATGATAATGTCTTGCCCAAACTTGGCTTTTTCCCACAAAGAACCTGAGGTAACTACACCATTGTCTTCCAAAGACAAAAAATCCCAAGAATGGAATGTGTGTAATTCTCTCCTTTCATTTGGGAAAACAGAAATCACCTTAGGATGCACTGCACACATAATTAATATTGTTTATCAACTAATGATTAATCACAAAGTATAAACATGAGATGGATTCAGCTCTTGTACACCGAATTCAACCAAAACCAATAATTTCGAAACGGAAAAACCACTAAAATTTC